ACCCTCGCCGTGATATTGCTGGAATACTGCTAAAAGCGGCGCATAACCAAACTCACTCACTCACTCACTCTTGTTCATTCAATTGTAGACATCATCAAACGTGGGTGTGTACTTTCTTTTATCTGTCTGTATATGATAGTATGTATAATTCTTTCATTAGCATATGGTCCACAAAGATATAATGGCCCAAATCACTATTAATTAGTGATTAAATCCTGTGTTCGCGAATAGTTGATAATATCCTGTCCTACCGGTCACACCCGTCACGAACACATGCAAGGGCAAGTCAAGCTTTCACTTGAGAAAAACAAACATCTGATGCAAATCGAAACAGGACTGGCGTTTTATTTGTCACAGATGCGACAAATTTGGAACTGTCCTCTTCTTGTCTACCATGAGCCCTTGTGAAATCTTTCCTGGGGCCTTGGGTGATGTTGATCAAACGTTGTTCAAACAACTTCTGAGAAAGAGTCGCATGACCCTCTTTGAAATCGTATGCCACGATCAAATGTTCCCTTTAGTTTGTGATCAATCCCTGGACCATTTTCGCTTCCGCCCACTCATTTCTGAAATGAGAAATCCCCAGATGAAGCAAGTCTAAACCATCCTCAAGTTCATGAAATTACCATTTCGCCAGGGCTGCTTTTCAGTGTAAATGGCGCTATTTGTCACCATCTAATTTTCATATTCTGAAAGACTAAGCGTTAGTTTATGATGCAGTTATTCCTTCGCTCTAACGCACAAGTGAGTGAGTATGGTTTTAAGCCACTTTTAGCAATATTCCAGCAATATCACGGCGGGGGACACCAGAAATGGACTTCACACATTGTACCCATGTGGGGAATCGAACCCAGATCGTCGGCGTGACGAGCAAACGCTTTAACCACTAGGCTACCCCCCCGCCCCTGTAATGCAGAAGACCAAATGAAGCAGATGTAGACTTCCCCTTGCTTCAGGTTCTTCCGTCTCACTGGGTCTCCTTTTGCATTTAAATAGATGCTCATGCTTTCAGCCACTAGCTTGCCCGGTCAGACTTTTACAGGTCACCGTGATACAATTGGACTTTTATAAACTGTGCTGTTTAACAGCTTCCACTCATTCGAGTCGAAAGAAAACGGAAAAAACTATTAAACATTAATTGACAAAAAACTGTCTCAAAATTTTAAATATTTAGACATTTGCTCATGGCAGATGCTAATATCCCGTCAACTGATGGCCAATAAATGATTAGATATTATTGATCTGCGGCTCCTCTGGCTCTCCTGAGTCAGGCTCGTTCCTTGCAAGCCCTTTTAGGCAAGGTAGATTATTAAGCAGCTTAATGTAGTAATATGTTCCTGGTCATAAACTCACTACAGGTTTATGGGCAAAATAAGAGAGTGATTTCTTTCCCCTCGTTTTTAACAATAACCGAGGAATATTACCGTGGGGGACACGAACAAATTGCTTCACACTTTTCGCTCATATTGGTAATCAACCTTGTCTTCAGCACGAAGCGCTCACGCCAGCCACAAGAGTGAAAAATAAGACGGCCGTGATTTCAAAAAGAAATCAGTTCTGTTCAAGAGTAGCTTTTCCAGCTTTTCTTTATGTGTTTGTTGAGTGTATATTTCACACGTCGTAGGTAGCATATGCATGTGTATTTGGAGCGAGTGTCACAGCTGACTACGTCTCGTCAATGGTGGTTCACAAACACATGCTATATAGTCAAGATCGTACAATCGATTCTGCCTTTAACAGAGCCTTTAATTTGTAGCTCCTAGGTACTGGATTGTAGAATTATTTTCAAATGTAACTGGTGGGCAGTCGCATCTTTCTGAACGAATCAGAAGACTGCGTTCCCCATGGTCCCTAGTATGGTGATCTACCTTCAGTTGTTGGCGATCTATTGCCTGTTTTTATATTATGTTGTCCCCCATAGTTAGAATGTTTTAGACTTAATTACTAGTTTTACATGTATATCTGTGATATTCTAGTTGTTTTACTGTCCTTTGATGACAGGTTTTTACGGTATACATTTATTGATATCAACTGTTCTCGTCACGATATGGTTGCAATATTGCCGATGTGACGTTAAATTTTAACTCACTCACTCACTCAGAAGACTGTGTGATATAATACAAATTCCAGTAAAGACGTTTGAAGTTATGTTAGAACACTATAACCTGGTACATGTCTACATAAAACAATAAAAAGAGTCATTTTCTGATTCGCACGACTCTATGTTATCGTAAGCATGTGGTCATGAACTACTATCAAATAGTGTTGATACCAGTTTTGCGAAAATTACCCATGAAGATCCGGGTTAGAATTGGTCTTCAGCAACCCATGCTTGTCGTAAAAAGCGACAAACGGGATCGGGTGGTCAGGCTTGCTGACTTGGTTGACACATGGCATCGTATCCCAATTGCGTAGATCGATGCTCATGATGTTGATCACTAGATTGTCGGGTCCAGACTCGAATAATTACAGACCGCCGCCATATCGCTATATCGCAATATTGCTTAGTTCGGCGTTAAACATCAAACAAGCAATCGAAACAATAACATGTTTTCGTAATCAATTTTCCTGAAAACTAAATCGTACTATATCTGACACTTTAAACTGCCCAAAAACCAAAATTTGATTTCTTGAGGTAAGGTCTTGTGGACAAAATACAAATTCTAGTAAAGACGTTTGAGGTTATGTTAGAACTCTATTACCTGGTACGTATCTACATAAAAACAATAAAAAGAGTCATTTTCATATTCGTACGACTCCGATTTGTGGACATGTGGGAATTCCCCGTTTACTCATGTATATTAACAAAATTAAACTTAGCTATAGCGCCACGCTAATAAACTAATAATCATGTTTGCGAGAAACCTTCGTAGACATGCTCCACAAAGATGTTTGAATGCTCACGTTATCAACCACAGTGAAGTACACAACCATGTTTGATTGTGGTTGAAAATTATACAAACAAGAAATGGATGATTTTGACAGTTACGTAGCATTACGGGTATCATTTGGGAAGTTACGTTTGCAGCGTTTGGGCGACTGATTACACACTAAAAACACTTTTAACATTTGTACTTTTGTGATCAAATCTAATTTTCCGGTATCGTATTTTTGCCCGGTAGTGTATTTAAAGCCACTGCGATTATGTTTACTACTGTATAATTAATCATAAGCCAGTTTAAAAACTGGACCAAGGTATAACGGAAATAGAATGATTATTTTTCATATATGATGTTGAAATTTCACTCTTACATTTTTATACGTAACGCTTATTTGTAACTTACATGCACTCCCGGTATCTGATTGGGACGATAAAAACGTTCAACAATGTTTCATTATGTACAGTTTGTGAAATTAAATACGGGCTCTTGTGGAATTATCCTGTAGTATTTGTCGAAAGCGGGATGGAGCCAAACTCTCATAATTTTTTTAGTCACATAATACGAGCAGTTTCCACAGAAAAAAGAAGGGGAAAATTCAAAATATTCTTTCTGGTGGTCACATGTATAAGTATTAGCCACAAACTGATGCAGCATATTAGTCAGACTTACCACAGCTGCACCAGATGCAAAAGCTTACCTTATTGTGAATAATCATTAGTGCCACTATTTAATAGCTATTTATAGACACATGCTTATTGTTTAGCCAGAATCGTACAATCGATTTAATCGGTTCTTCATAATTATTGAATTTTTGTCAAGTTTAAAAAATAGCTTTTTATTTAGATGTAAGTTTTCTAAAATGTGAAATACTGGTTTAACATCATTTTATAATTTTGTATCAATAATAGTACTGTTCTTGCGTAGTATATGTTTCGCGAACTATGTTCCATGGTCAAGCCTTTGTTTAAATTTTCGAATGAAGGTCTACACGTAAGGTTAACGTTATTAGTATAAACACATGAACGTAACAGATGCCAGTCCAATCTATATTCCGGATAATTGTAATTTACCAGTTAGTCACGTCAGTTTTAACACCACGTTTCTTTCGATCGATAAGGCAAAAGTTAAATCGAGTTTATCGTTTCAAAGGCCATAGGTTGTCGTTTTACCAGATAGTTGGGTGTGAATCAAAATATGATTTACGACAGTGTAAATACTTCCATCTCATATGTAATGATGCAGAGGATAACACGTCATGGATAATTAATAACTCATTACCACGTCAAAACAAACCAAAAAATAATAAAAAAACAGATTCAAAAACGCCCTAAACGAAAGCCCGTTTCGCTTAATATGTTCATCAGTGTCATTTCTACATATGTAACTGTTTGATGTGATGCAGAGATCCTTGTCGCATAAATGTTTTACAAATTCTCAAAATATTTCTCACAAAGCAAGAGAAGATATATGTTCAGAACGTATTTTAATATCTACAATATATTTCGCATTATAAACACCAGAGAAATAATATAAACACAAAAAGCACCTTTGTTAAATAATATATATATTAGACATGTACAATAACGGGACAGAATATTTGACTGAACGACAAATCGTTGATTTCGTTGTACATCGAATACTTAGATTTCAAATTTGTCTGTACATTCTGAAAATTAAATATGTCGCCCCATATCAGCCAATAGCAATAATGGGCGTATTTACGGTCAACGGAAGACATTTCATTGCAAAGCAAAACATAACACGGCGTAAAGATCAACTATGACGTCACAATGTCCACGAATGACGTAATGCATTTATACATATGTGTGTCACTGGTCATGTGGACCGAATAAATGTTTGACAGTCCCTTCTTGGCGAGACTTGGCGCCGCATGGCTTGTCGCCACGAGACTTGGTGTGATCAGGTTTGCCATTTTCACTTATGAACATTACATATTCAAATGTTTGATATTCAACATCTGAGGTAAGACATATCGGGTGTAACGTTTTACACGATATGAACAATTGTCACTGTTTCACCACGTTTGATAAAGTTCTTATCAGCTGTCACGTGATCATTCCCAATTAGCATCAGTTCAATCAGTTCAATCCAGAAAAGTGATTTCTTTGTCACCAATGGTTCAAAGCCGGATGTGCACCTTGGAATGGAGAATTATGGGATAGGTAAAATCCGGGAACGAGGCTGGCAGCCGAATGAAAAGATTGCAAATGTCCTGGATAAATACTCTGGGCGCCGTAGGCGAGTGGATACGCCTGACCGATTGGAATGGTTGGTGAAGTAGGAACCGTTGGGCTGTTTACGTCTAGACCTGGGTTTTGCTTCTTCCACTTTGTCCGTCTATTCTGAAACCAGATTTTTACTTGAGTCTCTGTCAAAGATAAAGACAGAGCGAGGTTTAGTCTTTCGCACACAGACAGATATCGCGTCGTCTTGAACTTGTTCTCAAGAGCGACTAATTGTTCGTATGTGAAGGCCGTCCTTGCCCTTCGAGGTTTGCCGACCTTTGACCCCCCAAGGCTACCTTGACCGTGGTTGCCGTTTTCATCTATACGTTGACGTTTTTCGGGGCTATCCTCACAGTCGTCGCGATCCATGTCGCTGACGTCACCAGTGATGTCTTCGTCATCTGTGAGAATGGAACAGGAGGTGAAATCAGTTTGCATAAACACATTTGTTTCATAACTTTATCACTTGATAAATCGTTCAGTCTCTGTTGTAAGGTAAATGGTTGTTATTTGAAATTGTATTAATTAATACAAGACCCAATGGACATGAAGATGCAATAGTGTAAAATGAAGAAACTGGTAAAGGCGAGAATTTATGTATATTATTACTCCTTCATCGTCGACTCAAAATATAGAAGTCGACATCCAAAAAATTCTCGCCTTTATGTGCATCAGATCTAAATGTCGTTCAAAGAAGAAACTGATGTTCATCTATTTCAAATAGAAATTGAAATCTTTCAATAAAGCATATTCAGATGAACCTAGTCAATGTTCAGCATCTTCACATGTGTATATAATATATCCAGTGTTGCAAATAGTAGCGCATTTGGCGTCACTTTAACCAGTTGTACTTTCGACTTTGCTTGTGGTCTTCGACATGAACGAATCTGAAGTATTGTGTCGACATTAACATTTAATGCACAGTACCACCTAGGGATAATTATCTTTCAATTCTGTCGCATTTACCGAAAGATAACAATACCAAATAGTATAAAATCATGTCTGGTTGTTTTGACTGCACGGCAATGAATTATTCTCCTTAGGAAAGTTTGTTTAATTGATTATTGTTAATTCGTAACAGAGCCCCTCGTCATTGTAGGGCTGTCGGTTACATGGTGTACCCGATTCTATTTTTAGAAAATATTTCAAATGTTGCAAGGTTAGGGAAATCCCTTTCGAGATTGTAGTTCCGGTTTGAAAGTCGTTTCCGTAATTCAGTCTTTATTCCGCGTCAGCCGAAATCGCGGAAAATATGATAACTAATTTATTTCGTAGTAAAGAGGAACTTTCATATAATAATAATTTCTTTGAATTATTTAGGGAGTGAAAGAAACGTATTTTGGTGGCAATTGTGCAATGTTTTTTCTCCTGCCACTCCACCCCTAAAACCACACCCATCCACTCCCACAACCCCTTAAACCAGAGTCTGCTTAACAGAACAAGGTATTCAGGAACAAACAAACAATTTCAAACATGAGTCATCGTTTAAAACGAGCATGCCCATTTGAGAGACAAACGAAACCCACAGAGCATCCCTAGAAGGACAGAAACAATTACTTCTTCGCAACCAAGTGCATAAAACCAAGACTATTATCAATGCCAAATGCCAATTATTCTTTATCCTTACAATAAAAGCTGAAGAATTATATAAAGAAAACCGATTTACGGGATTACATTTTCGTTAATACGGAAGCTATTTGACGCAAACATAATTTTACTGAAATCACACTGTCATTTTCAGTGAGATCAAATTAAATTGTAATTATGTAGATGGCACACCCGATTAGCCAAACAGATCGTGGGTAAAAAATATGCCAACCTATTGGCAGACATGCTTGCTATTACAGTGTGGATTTTTTGTGCGTTCCAAAAATCGATTTCCTTGACATCAAAGTTATCATTTCTTTGATGAAATTCCCAGACAAAGGGATAAATATGTTGGCGACTTGGTCGGGAACCGTTAAACCAATCGAATCCCCCCTGTCATTGAAAGACCAAGCACATTGTAGAAGGCTGTGCTAGACTAGGCGGAGTATCGATCTCTAAAACATTATCAGATGTCCCGAGATTGCTCAAAACAATTGTGTTCTCGCGCAGTGACATGTATGAAAATACACTTATGTCGCTTGTTGACTAAATGTCAAAATCTTTGTTTTCTGAGCATAACGATATCTCATTAAATGCTTTGCTTGTTTAGAAAAAGAAATTTGATTATATTTTCGTTTCGTGTGTAACTAAATTCGAGAAAATGAAATATCGTATTTTTCAAGTCGGATTATCGTTTATTTGTTACAGCATTTTTAAAGGGATTTCTCTTCACAATTACGTAATTGTTAATGCCGGTTGATCAATTCACCAACAATTTGTGCTTGTTTCCTAACGGTACTGATTGATGTAGTTCGATTAATGTTTATCCGATACGAACATATTATAGAGATTGATTCAATATTAAACCTCGTATTATCAATCCTGTGTGATTCCGCTGTAGATTCACTCATTCAGTTATATTTCTATCGAATTTTATTACAGAATAAAATTTAAATTAACAGTTTTGACACGTGTCCCTGAATGACATATATTCACTATAAAACCTTGTAGTTTAAATGGACAATACATGTCTCCTTCACATTCTCCTTGATTTAATATTAAACTTGGTATTACCCAGACTGTGAGATTCTGCTATTGATCCACTCATTCAGTTGCATCTCAATCATATTTTATTGCAGAACAAAATTTAGACTTAACGGTTTTGACACGTGTCCCCGAATAACATATCCACGATAAAAACTTGCTTTTGTGAAAGGACATTACATTTGCCATCTACATTCTCCCTTCCCAGCTTCTCTATGACATTAAGTTAACGTCACTCAGAGGATAATAATGTCAAACCATTTTATTTTGTTCTCAATCAAATACTGAAACATACAAATTATTTCAAAGACGAGGGATAATATTCCTCATTTTAAATCAGTTCCATTGAAATCAAGCATTTATCGATTAATGTTTGCATCCGAACCAGAATCTAAATAAACTAGGAAAACAAAAAATATATCGCTTAAAAATTGTATCATATTTAAAAGTCATCACTAAAAGTACATTTCCCTGAACAAGGCAATGAAATACGCTTTTAACTATTTGTTTGAAGGCTGCTGGTGCAGCGTTTGTTGATCTACCTGTGACACAACGTGCGAGGGGCTTTGAGGTACATATGTATACATTTACATCATCATGATGGGAGGGGGAGTCAGGGCATCACCGCTCAGGTCATTGACTTGCAGCGTTAGCTAATCACACAGAAGGTATACAACTTACATTGTTGGAATACAATGTTTGATGAACTCATTTCTCGTGTTATATGGCATATTTTTAAAATGCTTGATGCATATTTATATTCATAATTTCTTAATACACATTTATTTACAAATATAATTTATGGATGCATGTTTAGTTATATATATTTTTTCACAAGCTATTCTGTGTTGCGTCTTTTAACCGAATTGTAGTATTATAACGACGGATTTGTGTAGTTTAAGGATAGATTGATACTGTTTTACGTGTTTATTAAAGATATTAAATTTGCAAACCCGTTATCCCAAGCATTTGGACAACGGTTATGATTATTATAAACATTATTATAAACATTATTATAAAATATTAGATACGGAATCATATTGATAAATTTCCAAATATCGATCAAATAACAACGATTTCCTGTAAATCATTTTTCAAATCTTATTTCCTTCTCTTTTTACAGATAACTCCACTCAAACACGAGAAATGCATTAAGTATTTTTACAATTGTCACTGACTTCAATCTATTTCACAATGCGTGCAAGTCTGTTCTATCAATAGAGCATGCATTACTGTGCTAACACCGATTTAACAAAATACATTCTCGCAAAAAAACATTCACTTTGATTACCTTAAGAACATCAAAGAAATTATTGATATTTGATGTGTTCTATATTCGTTTGATTTGTAGATCACATGCGTGATTTTATCAGAATAATCATCTGTTGCCTGTTACTAACAGCTAGGTGAGTGTCGCAAAGGCACCCCACACAACGTACTGAAAAACCCCGTCTATCTGATACACCTGAGGCTAGCTGTAAAACACCGAATATTAACTTAAGTAAAGATTAAAATTATGCATTATGGCTTTCCTCTTTTGATTTCTTTGTGAAAACAGCCTTTTGCCCTTTTCATGTTATTAAAAGCTTTTGCTGAACAATTTGCTTCTATTAGGATAAGGGACAGTTGAATGGCTCTTGAAATGTGTGCCTTTGTGCGAAGCGGGAGCCATCTCAGGTCGTGGTGCTGGAGCTGATTGTGGACGGAAATATACCGCGACATATCATCTGGAGATGTCCCGCTTGCCAAGCTCATTTCTGTAATAGCTCAACAATTACATTAACACTAGCTTCCGATCATGCGTGATAACACGCACAAAGGTAGGCCCGTAAACCATGCTTCTCTCAGGGCTTGTCTTCCATAAAACGTATCTGCTCCCGTTCGGGCCCCGGGCGTAATTTTTGTACGGCAGAGTGTTATTTCGGGGTGGGATAAAGGGCCGGTGGCGGTGACAGCACGGTGTGCAACATACGTTTATGTTGTTGTCGTTGTTGATGTTAATATTGTTATTGTTATTAGCAGAAGTAGTGTTGTTGCTATTGTGGCTGAGGTGAAACATGCGAGGTTATTATCAGTAGTAGTAGTAGTAGTAGTAGTAGTAGTAGTAGTAGTAGTAGTAGTAATAGTAAAGAATACAGCCAACAGACTTCGAGATAGCGAGATATCCTAGCTCATTATCAGCTCAGGGATCATGCCCCCTCTACATGCAGCCCAGACAGCGAATGGGACTTCTCCCAGGAAGCGCTGCCAAGTCGAACCCACCAAGAACTTTACGGAGAATGTGTGGACCCCCCAAACACTGCAGCCTTCTCCATTACCCAGAGTTTCAGAGGGACAGCGTTGTTGTTCTCGCTGATGTTGTTATTGTTGTTGTCAACTTTTATTCTTACAACCACTGATATCAATATTGTTATCATCATGAAACGTCTATAATTTCCTATTTCTTAATTACATCTGATATCACATATAATCTGTAAAACCAAAGCTGCACTTACAAAATAACTCTAAAGGAATTATAGAAAGAATAACTGCACTGAACGTAAATAATGAAGTTTTTAATAAAATCCCCATTAAACTACATTTGTCTTGGTAAAGCCGAGGCATAATTGAGTCTTAAGGGTCTAAGATCAATATGAATTTCATCTGCAGATCATGAAACAATATCTTGATATTGCTTCAGATTTGTTTACGTTGCATCAGTACGTTGGTTATTAGGTTGCAATACCCGAGCAACGCTTGGTCGTGTCTTTAGCCTGTTCAACCATACGGATTGTACAAGACAGTTGAGATTCTCAAGTGGATGCCAATTTTCACATTCCTGAGAATATCAGTGCCAAAGCGCCCGATCATTTCGACCTTAAAGAACAAACTTGATTCAATTATACATTTTACTACATTTGTTTACGGTCGGAAAATCGTTTTCTCACTTGTACATACAGAAAAAAAGGTATACAATTCAAAATTCATTAAAGGTTGTTAAATATGTGTATGCTTCTTAACCCTGATTCTGAAATCAGCATATGTCTGAGTCATATTAATAATCATATTAATAAATTGAATCATCTAAATTTCATTAATTTTTTACTTGTTTGTTTTTTGTTTTCCTACACGAACAGCGAGGGACCTCGACACACACGGGTCGCCAGTCATCTAATTGGCAAAAAAGGCGAGCAAAATGTCAAGTGATATCACCCCCGCTATTGTTTGCGTATCAACATTCTCACAATTCCCTCAATTATTTAATTTGCTACTCGCGTAGGAAACAAATCAAGTTAGTCTGATGATTAAACTGCATCTAGAAAATCACAAGTTCAAAGACCACAAGGAACGAAGGCCTTTAGCCTCTTTGAGAAATTAACACTTAAATTACATGAAACGAACACTCCCCTTGTCGCCGTGGAAGAGGCCGATGCGCTTTCTGGGCATTTCCCTATTGTAATGGTTTTAGTAAACGCATAACACCAATTGGGAGGCAATCGCGTAAAAGTCCATGACGGCAAGCTGCACTTAACCACTTAATAAGCTTTTACGTTTGGGTTTAATGGGTGCATCTACATTGTCAACGTCTCTGAACTATGTAGATTTGGAGGTTGTTTCTGCACGATGTCAACGACGGATTTTAATGCCATATCGTCATTAAATGCAGTACACAACATTTTTAGACTCATAATTGTAAAACGAGCACGATAAATACACTTATACATCACCACTTTTAAACGTGTCTCTCCATAATTGTTTGGGAATATTTTATAGTGAGCATTACTCATGTGTATATGTTTGGTTATCCAATAATGAATCATAACTATAATATTTTCAGGTTTTATATGAGTTTTCGCTCGTAATTGTTTGTGAATATTTTAATAGTGAGCATTACCGTGGTGTATATGTTTGGACATCCATTAAAGAATCATAATAAACAGGCTCTTAGGTATTATGTGCGACATTTATGAGAATTTACGCTCTCATTTCATACATTTTAAAAACGTTTCACTTTGAATGTGTAAAGGGTTCTTAAATGTATTTTATGTAAGTGAAAGTTAATTTTTTATGACACGTCAACCACCTTACAAAATATGATCATGGAAAATATTCATTGGCACTGATCAAACCTCCATGGCTTCAATTAAACAAATCGTATATTCAACAAAAGGTCTTCAATGGATTCAACGGGAATTGATCAACTCAGGATTGCGATTGAAAATATGCGTTTATTCAAGAGAGGATAAAAGTAATTGTAAAAATACTGTTTTCACTGGCCAAGAATGTATTATTTCATCAAAGAAAAATGAGAAGTGTGAATGAATGACAATGAAACGTCTTTTCAAATATACATGTATTTCATAAAACCCTTATATTAACACGTCCACGTAACAATGCACAAACTGCATTTTATTTTCGAAATAATAAAATATTAAAACACAGTATGTAATGAGTGACTTTACCAATCCCCACGTTGTTTAAAGGAACGTAATGAAGACATTGCAAACAAACATATTTTACAGAGCCATATGAATAATTTTTTAAAATAAATAAATAGAAACTAAGGAAACGAATATATAATATCATTAAAACTATTCATTGTTAGATAGAGATTATATGAACTCAATTTTAAGCTGAGGAAATAGGAAGATGTAATTTATAAATCTACCAATTGTACAGCAAGCTATGTTAACATTTAAGCTCAATTGTAAAGATTTGATCAAAACAGAAAAATAAACACCTGCACTTGAGTATTCTGTTTAACGTGATACATACCATGTATAAACAAATTAACGTATTTCCCGTGAGATACTGGAAATAAAATGGCGTCGGGTTTTGTTATCAGCCAGATGATGTAATAATGCTTCAACGCTAGATGTCTAATTTTTAACACTTGAAATAATAATTATTTTCAAATCTGAATGGCTCATCGTTGAATCACAATTTGATTTAACACGATATCTAACACACAAATCAATAAATGTGCATCGGGAAAAGGGCCAAATACGAATTTAAGTATTTTAAATTTTATCCCCCAAAAGGATAACGAACTCAGCTCAAATTGACAGTGTTATTTCATTTCTAAATTTTATTCCGTTTATAAATCGTCATTAATTTGACCAAACGATCATAAAAAGTGACTCAAAAAGATTAAATGCAAAACAAGATTAATTTAAAAACTATATTCAAATTCGAGTATTTTTATTTGAATTGAAATTTGGATGAACCAAGCTGTACACTGGACCTGTCGAGATGCAGAGCAGACTCATGTAAAAACAATGAAAACAGACAGAGCATTTGTTTATTATTGGCATCTTTGTTTACCTACCTGTCAAAGGCGTGTTGCCCTCTCCGTCAACACTGCTTGAAGTTGAAACGTCAGACTTTCCACGGAACTTGTTGGGATCTAGGATGTCAGCCACGGAGAAGGGGGTCACTTGTTTGGGCGTGTCATCGTTCTGTTCCCTGTTGGGGGATACCCTCCCTCTCCTGTCCTCAAAACTTAGGCACAGTTCCGCATCTTCCTCGCTATCACACGTTGAAAAACTATCGCTCAAAGATTCCGACATCTGTTCCATTGACCGATGCAGAAAATGTCGTTCCGTACGATGAGATAAATGTCTATGTGATATTTCTCCAGTTTCGTCCCCGCTGAGATTGTCGTCTGCTTCTCGCGCGCTTGTCACGCGCCCGGATCCTTCCATGTGTAACCGGCCAGTTACTCTCAAACACTCCTTCTTGCTCCCTTTTAGGTAGCTGTTTAAATCCCGACAATATCAACATCAAAAAACGGCCAATGTTGACTGTCCGGAGCTCGGACCGATAGCCATTCCCGTTTCTTTTCACTCGGGAGGGAATTATTGAAATTAGCCAAATATGGATGCAATGCGGTCGCTCTAATTGGTTCTCGTATTAAATTGATTGGACGAGCGGGCGGAGTCAAACCACGGACTGGAGGACAATAAATTCCCCATTTGGCGGAGAAAGGGGCTTGTGGGGTTCAAGTTTGCCAAAACCCATTTTCTTTAATGGGATTGTAAGTGAGTTTATTCTATCACCGTCTCACCAACGCAAAAATACCCTAGAACTGAATCATCACAGCGACAGGCTAACGCCTTCCTGAATGGGCAGAACAATACGGGCTTCGGTGGCGATCAAAGGGAGGCAACTGCATGACGCATGAGACCGGACTCGTTGAGTTACTATTGGTTGGGAGGTGTGAAAAATTTGAGTGACAGGTTACCACTAGCAGTGGGCAAGTTTACTTTTCCTCGTAATTAGTGTCCAGAAATCCTGTTAATCCTTTCGGATAAAGATCTGTCAATCAGCTACGAATAGCCTGCGGTCACGCTTAATGCGTGAAATCAAAATATCAATCTCATAATATGTTTGGTAGTTCTTGAAGGTATTCAACAACAAAAACAATTACTCTGCTTATTGGAAACATTTGGGCAAATCGGATCACTTACTGCTCGGGTATTGAAAGGGTATTAGTACTAAGTGGCGGGGTACATGGGAAAGGTGGAAAGGTGTTCATATAATTGTCCTTTGCACAGGTAATTTGTTGTCTTTGTGTATCATGTGTTTTCACACAGATATGTTTGTGTGGGAATGAAAAGTGAGGACATCGTCCACGTCGCGACATCTGCTAATAAACAGAGAATTTACTCCAAATAAACAACCATGTTGATATCTTAATCGTATCTTCAAATCACTGAATGATATACTCATGCCAATAATGGTTGTCACCCCCTTCAATGTTTTTATTTGGAGGGGAGAGGGGGGGTGGGGTTGGGTGGGGAGGGGTGACAACCATTATTGGCATGAGTATATTTGGAAGTGATACTTCTTATGATTCATACACTCATAAACAAAAGTGTATTACATCGTAAAATAGCGGCATGATTTAACAAAATATAATTTAAGATATATAAAGGGGGAAATTTGCAAATGTCAACATCTGTAATTTGGGGAGCACGATGTTTCGGAATATATACTCATGCCAATAATGGTTGTCACCCCCTCCCCACCCCAACCCATCCATGACCACACCCTCTCCAATTAAAAAATTGAAGAGGGTGACAACCATTATTGGCATGAGTATATATATACTTACTCCTTCATCAGCTGACATCCATGAATTCCATCTTTCAATGTCTTTGTATAAATTATGTTTTGTTAAATAATGGCACTATTTTACGACGTCATACACATTTGTCTATGTCTTGTTTTTCTATTGGTTTGTTATGCATATATATTAACATCTTAATTATTAACATTTTAATCGTGTTTGTGGTATATAAGGCATTAGTCTTACGAAGCCATATGTTTTTCATTCATAAGTGACAAGTGACAAATTTATTAGTATTTGGGGCCACGTGACCCATATTACTAATACATAATAACTGCACACAGTGCACATACCGGTATAATCATTCATTCATAACTATTTCATTCATAAATAGCTTTTGAATCTTTTATTGCTTAATTGTGATTTTTTAATTCGTAGTGCTAAAGTCGTTACATATTTATGCATATCTTGTTTTATTTTGTGTTGAACATTATTTGTGTCTGTATTTATATGTCACACGTAGAACACATCTGTCTTTGTACCAATTTTAAGTGTATATTTCTGCGTTGATATTAGTTTGCTTACATAATACTTTCAAGTAACAAGTTGTAAGTGTTGTTATTTCAAAATTCGCAATCCCATTTTTCACTTACATTTTAAGTTGACTACGATACAATTTTAGTCAGGCCATCAGTTTTAGCAATATTCCAGCAATATCACAGCAGGGGACACCAGAAATGGGCTTTACACATTTTACTCATGTGGGGAATCGAACCCGGGTCTTCTGTGGGACGATCAAACGCCTAATTCAAAATCGATATGGTGCTATGAACCCTTTCCAATTATGTTTTGAAAAAAATGATCCGAACCCTTTTGAAAAAAGGATACCAAAATGTAAGTTTGTAAACATCAACCCATCCTAAATATGTTACAAAATAAAGAATAATACTCAGTTTGTAACAAAGGAACATCAATGTACAAAACAGCTTTGTCCGTGAGAATCGGAAAGACCTATAACGCCATTCAATTTTCACGTGTTTGGGTTCATTTTGTACCCACGGGGCACACTTGCCCTGAAAGGCAGGGCAAATCTGTCGAATGAATGTTGTTTAAAGAGAAAAATTCAAAGAGAATTCGTGAAACATCTTTGCGATACTTTGTATACTTTACAGCCTACTGGGAAACGCCAGTAAGTCCCCCCTGTGCAAGTCTCGCGAGACTGTACACTCATTAAAGATATCGCGACAGCCCGTCTTTTTGTTGCAATATTTACACCCATCGTGGGCCATTATCTACCTGTATCTATCTCTAGGGCTTTGATCTGAGTAGTAAGCACACAAAAGGCGACAGACTTCGTTGACAAAGCCGTTCTTTAGACATCAACGAGATGTTAACGTGACGTTAACGCGAATTTGTAGTGTTACCCGCGAGTTGAGGTCGGGACGTAGTTACCTTCTCTTTACGTACTCGCACGACACGGCTTTCGGTGTAATCCCCGCGAGCGAAACCTATCTAAAGGCGCATTACAACCCATAACTCGCCTTTCATTGCAGCAAATGAATGAAAACACGGTGTTGATCTACTCCCGCGTTGAGCTTTTGACTCAGATCGGTGAATCAATTGGTGAAGGCCATCAGGAAAATAGGTGTCTTTGTTACGGTAATGAAAAATAAATGAGCGGGCTGAGATTCGCAATACAAAACAGTTTAGAAACATACTGACGACACGACACAATCGCTGCCAAGTCTCAGTTCCCTTCCACGGGTCAGTGGGAGGGTACGGGGGGTTCGCGGCAGGGGAGGGGGTATTTTAACGCTTGCCCAAGATCAAATCCAGAGTTATAGGCACTCAGTGAAGCTGTCAAGAGCATGCTAATTGGGTAGAATCAGCGCCCAGAGAAAGGCTTGGATTGCAGGCTAAACACGAGGCGAACGAAGCAGCATAAGCCCTTAAGTCCCCGTATTAAGACGCTAAATCTATTGTTCCACACACGGTCCCTTTAATACAAAATTGTATTCCCGTGAGACAGAGGAGTCTTTTACTATGGCCTTTTTTCAGCGTAACTCACTCGAAATTACGTTAGTGCTACTTCTGTTATGGATTTTAAAAAAATCAATTGTTATATAATCAATCGTTTTAGAAATACATTTTTAAAAATATTTTTCAAACAATTTGTATTATTTACACATGTTATTTACCCCGAAATACGATATACCGGAACATGATGCTCTTATGAAATAACTTTTATAAAATGATGAATGAAATCTGTAAGAGACTTATTTTTTTCATTTTATTTTTTATCCAAGCCAATTGTGTTGACCATATAACTTACCAGTATGTTCTCTAATTATACTTTCATTGTTTGTTTGTTTTCTCAAGCTTTGTGAAAAAGTGAGAATTTGCACAAAGTGTGTGTTGCGGAAGACTTGGAAATCATTGTTTGGCTTGATATCTGCCAGTACCGATATGGCAAATATAAGAATTATAGGTCTTTTGAACAGATTTTTACATATTATATTAAAATAAACCTTAAACATTTTAATAGTTATGATGTCAGGATCATCATATCAGCAGGATCTGCTGTTTTCTAGCTTAATAATAATCATCACAGCCATCAACAGAATAACAACAATAATACGTGGCAGGTGAAGTAATTAACGGCGAAACCTCGATAACAATAAGACAAAACCAATACTTGTTATTATTAAATCCGACTCGTTCAAGCATTCAACGATTGATGAATTCTATTTGAATTTGAAAATAATTGTTGGACGCTTTGAGAAATATTATGGCAGTTGGAGGCTGTTTCTCGCCAGATTGTTTAATGCAGGCATTACATGCCCTTTGACGACCGGTCGGACAGAAGTAGCCGCGTAATGGCACGTGAATCACTCCCACAATGCAGTTCCATTACACGACAGTGTCTTAATACAATGTCCAAATCAGTGGTTCCTGCGGGCGATGACCCTCGGTCATCATCGACAAGTGACCAGATCTTTATTGCAATCAAACGACGCCGGCTCAATCGCATTCATCTCCACAGCAGTGATAACATGCCGTGATTTACAAATATTTTATGTCCCCGAACCCCCTCTCTGCGTGTGTAATTGGTGGAACGTTAAAACGATCACGGGTTTATCAGATATTTGTGGATGACCGAAATACTTTCGCCTTCCTGGTGTAATGTGTTGTGAAAAAAATCGGTATTATGGGGTATGAGGATGTTTTGTTTTCTGGGATTGTTGATTTAAACGATGGGATTTTATCGGATGTTTTGTGGTAGTGACAGTAGCAGCAGTAGTGTCAGTAGTGGTAGTAGCAGCAGTAGCAGTAGCAGCAGTAGTAGTAGCAGTAGCAGCAGCAGTAGTAGTAGCAGCAGCAGTAGTAGTAGCAGTAAAAGTAGTAGTAGTAGCAACAGTAGCAACAGCAATAGTAGTAGCAGGAGTAGTAGTAGTAGTAGTAGTAGTAGTAGTAGTAGTAGTAGTAGTAGCAGCAGTAGCAGTAGTAGTAGTAGCAGTAAAAGTAGTAGTAGTAGTAGTTTGTTAGCAGCAGTAGTAAGAT